AAATGTGAATCCCTCTTTGATTCAGTAATTATAAAGAAGGCAAGACAATGTGGTTTTGAAAAGATTTGCTTTAAATTTTCTTTCAACAAATCAAGTACTTTACATGTAGTTAATTTGCTTAATGTTGCAAAACAGTTTGTTTATAGTGAAGTCAAATCGGATTTTTTTTCTGCCTTCTAGGCAAACTAGCAGTTAAATGTTCAACAGCTGAGGTATTTTGGAAGGAATGCTATTCAGTAATAATAATAATAATTTCAAAAACACTAATTTGTCATGAGACCAAAATTGTATAAAGATCATCTCAGTAAGAGAACCATTCCTGTGCCATGCTGACGGTTATATAAACTGACTTGTTCTTTAGGCTTTCTAGCACAGCAAACTTGTTCAGTGTTTTTACTTGATTTACGAGGTTGGAAGTGGGGAGTGTATGGGAAAAGGTAGTGCACTGTGGGAACAAACTATGGGAATCTGAATCTCAGCGTGTCTGTGTTTATAACTCTGGAAAAATTACATGCTGTCAATGTATTAAGAAGTGAGCATGGAATTGTAGCAGGAAGTCAGCTGGAAAATGCCCAAGTATTGGGTTTCAGCATATGTTAGGAAAGAAGGAGAGCAATACGTTTATGGTATTATTAGGAGTGACTGTGGTAGGAAATTGAGGGGAAAGCCAGCGAATGAATCCACTCTTTCTGCAGGATGGTTCTTTGGCCACACAGGCGTGACAGCTGATGCAGCTCTGACCAGACTTTCTATCTGAGGGGGATAGTGAAACCTTCATGTATGGAGTTGTCAAATCCTTCTGGGTAACAACTAAAAAAAAAAAAAGGGTGTATTGCTGTCTTCCTGCAGTGTGCACACACATGTGAAACTGTAATAGAGCTTTTCAGAGAACGTTTAAAGACTCTGAAATAGGGTGCTGTTTAAATCCAGTTCCTTTCAAATTCCTCTTGAACCCTCTTCCTCTTTAGATTCCTGTTACAGATTAGACAGCTGGCAGTAGTGAAGCAGATCACTAGGTAAAGAGCTGCCTTATCTACTATCTCTGTTCCTTCCAACCTTCATCTGTTAATATGAAAGTTTAATTTAGGGAGAGTAACGAATATTTCCAAAATATATTCCAGAAGTATCTTTTGATATTTTTGAAGAATTTCCAGCAGATCATAGGCACTGATACTAACTTGTGTGCTATATTAAATGTATTTACTTTCCGGCAAATGCAGCGTTCAGTTGGTGTGGCTAATGACAAGGAGTATTACTGTGTGTGCAGAGAATCGCAGCCTCGGGTGGGTTGGAAGGGACCTCTTGATGTCGTCGTGTCCAACCCTGCTGCTCAGGAGGGTCACTTAGAGCAAGTTGTCCAGGACGGTGTCCAGTCAGGTTTTTTGATCATCTGCAGAGGTGCAGACCTCGCCACCTCGCTGGGCAATCTGTTGCAGTTTGACCACTGCATCTGACTGGTGGACTTTGAACTTAAATGTCTGGTTTTCCAGGTCCTTACCGTCCAGCCTGGAGAACATGATGCGTGTTCACTTTTTGTTACCAGTGTCAGTGCTGCTGTGATTCTTATATTCTTGAGATCTAGCACTGGAAACAGATGTCCCGTAGCATGAGTAATTCTCATAATTATTGAAATATTTAATATTAATTGGGTGTCCTAACATCAAGTCCTCCATTTCATGCCCAGTAGGTTCAACGTATTTACATAGCACTGCATCAAGATTTTGCGTGTTCTGTCAACTGCTGTCTCTCTAAACCGAAAGTCTTTCCAAGCTTCAGTCCTCTTGTGTTTCATTTTTGTGATCATCTCTTTCTCTGGTGTGACAAGCGCGGTGATGATTTTTCTCATTCGTTTAAAAAGCTGCCACAAGTTGCTTTACTGAGCCACTGACCTGTCACCTTTGCATAGCTGCCTCTTCTCTGTGGTATTAAAGAAAGACCACCTGGGTTCACTGCCAAGGATCTGCAGGGCTAATCTCTGCATTAGCTCACATTTTTCTCCCAGTATCAAAGAGGTGATGTTCAGTGTGGTTTATGGTGCAGCCACTTAACGATATTTCTTAAAGAAATATTTCTGGTGAGTTTTCCCCACTGCAGCACCTCCTCGTTTAGGAGGAGCTGCTTGTACATGACCACAGAGTTAACCTGTCGTCCTCTCATCCTTTCCTCCTCGTATCCACAGCTGAATCGGCCATAACTGAGTTGCTGACAAAAGCAGTCCAGTGTGACAAGAAGATAGCGTTAGTATCTATTGGTGGGCCTCTGCCATGCTTTCTGCTTGTGTTCTTAGCTTATACTAAGTTTTTTTTGCATAGTATCACAAATGTGATTTTTACGGTATTTCAGGTAAACCATTTTGGACACCTCATAACCAGGAACTGGGTTTTCTTCCACAGAGTATGTCAAGGAAATGTTGCTGTTGATTAAGAGTACAAGACTGAGTCATTTGCTTATATGATGGATTTGTATATGTACTTTGTGCGTGCACACCCATCTATGACAGAATAGTGATCACGACACACAGCTACAGGTTTTTGAACATAAATGCAGCAGTTGCTGCATTGGCCTCGCTGGAAATTTGCAGTTGCTGTATTAACAGGAAGCATTGAAATCTCTTGGATATGTTCGTAGGTATTTCCTGTGTTGGCGTATTTTTAGAAAAGTCTTCCACTGCATCCAGAAAAAAGTGACATTGTACTTCCTAGTGAGTGCTTTAAAGCCTGCAGGTTGTTGGTTGAAAGGTACTAATTCGGAAGTATATGCTTGTGGTGACATAGGAATCTGTAATTTGTGTTCAAAAGAACAATTGCTTGAACACTGGAATGTTTGTTATTTTTGTAAGCATATACGTGTGTATATACTTCAGTGTGCATGCAAAGCAACGTGCAGCACTTCTTCATGTTGTGCCACCTTTACACTTGAACCTGCTCGCCAGGTTTGTGGTACCTGGTATGCAGGAAGAAAATGAGGAGTAATATATCCTTTAAAATTCCAGGGCACAAGTGGAGTAAGAAGAGAAAGCTGTTGACGATGGTACGTTAGGAGCTTTTGGAGAAGACCAAAAGAGAAACGGGAGAATGGAAGGGCATCTGTTAAGTCTTGTGTCCTGTGACATGCTGCTGCTCCACGAAGAGAACAGGACCTTTCGCATGTGTAGTGCTGTGCAGTGGCCTCTTGTTTGTCTTTTGTTGGTCTTTTGTTTTTTCCAGCATTCCCCTGCTAAATGACTAATGCATGCGATTTGCACCAGGAAAGAATAAACCTCAGGGGTCCCTGGTGTGGAATGTGGAAGCTGAGTGTGTTGCTTCAGGCTGTGGAAAATGTGGCTATGACTGGAGTTCATGGTGGCTGTATACGGAGAGCTGGCGCAAACTTGTCTTGGCTGATTTGGCTGTGGGGTGCGGCGTGGAGACGTCATCGTAGGGTTGAGGATAGCAGTACAGGAGTATGTATTTGGGACTGTGCCGTGGCTGTTCAGGGTAAATCTGAGCTTCTCCAGAATTTTTTGGCCAATTACTAGCTGTCTAGGTAGTTTGTCTACACCTTTAGGTGTGTTTAACAAATGAAGACACTAAGATTTTTTCAGGACAGCTCAGGAAATGAACCTTGTCATGTATGTGTGTCAGTCAAGAAATCTAACTTAGAAAGCGGTTTTCATGCTTCCTTGTGTGTTTGAAATCCAGGGATGTTGTGCAGGGTGACCGTGATTCAGCTGTGCATGCTTGTGCCGCAGTAGTTCGGTGTTTGTGTCTTCAGGTAGTTTTTAAGGAAATTAGTTCTGTCGATAAGTCAAATGTCAGACATTACTGACTTAATGTTTTTTTTTTATTTCTGCTGGTTCATTGCTGTATTTCTGAGGTGGGTAGATTCTTTAGCTGAATTCTCAGTGCAGTGTGTTTGGTAGTCCATTATTTTTTTAAATTGCTTTTTTCTACAAAAGATGTTAAAAATTTTAATCAATTTATTTCTTTTTTTAGGTAAAGAAGAATGGATTATCGGAAGCAATCAGCCAGGAAGAAAGAAAAAGACAGGAGGTACTCTTTAAAGTAACACATTCTTTTTCGTTGATTGTTTAGGGATGCACTGCATGCCTGTTTTATTACTCTCTATTTGTTGGTAAGGAGGCAAGTTCATCACGCTGCTTCCTGTCCTAGAATGAAGTGTCTCCTCTCCCTGGGGAGAACAAATAAACAAACCCTGCCTTTTGCTGATGTGCACATCCCTGCCACGGGTCTCCTGCCAGCATCCTGCGGGTCTTGCTGGAGGAGTGGTTCCTGGGTGTGCTTGCTCCAGCAGATGCAGCAGTCACTGCTGCCGGCTGTGCCAGGGATGGTGTCAACTCAGCCCTGCGCTCACAGAGGGTAGGAGGTGGCGCATCAATTTTTAAAGGCAGGGAGGAGCAAGGAACAGCTCTTTACAGTGCCCCGTGGTTACAGCTTAATCCTGTGAACAATTCTGCACATGCCGGCAGTGCGTATGTGGTGTAACGAACCTTTTTCCTCTCACACTGAGATGGAGTAGGTGCATCCATGCTGTCAACAGTGCAGACAACAGCAGCAGTTACTGATGTAGTTACCTTTTCTCTCTCTCTTTCCCCTTTGCTCCTTTTGTCCTCTTCATCTGCTTCCCTCTTCCTCTTTGCTCCTTTTGTCCACTTTATCTGCTTTACCTTCCTTGCTTACCTACAGGGGCTATATCAAAGTGAATGAGAGGTGTTGAAAAGAATAGGCTGACCTAGCCACCTATGTAACTGCAGTTCTTGAGGTGTGTCCTTCAACAGGAATAAAAACCCAAGTTTTTTTGAGTAGAAACACTGTAGCATTACCTGCCCTGGTAATTTGTTCCAGTGTCTTCACTTCAGGTCAGGATGTACGTCAGTGAGTGTAGCCCAGCGAGCCCCGAGTGGGGTTTTCTGTGAAGTTCGCAGATGTGTATAGCATGCCTCAAATATGAATTTAGCTGCATGACCTACAGCTGCTGTGTTTGTACATGAAATACAAAAACATCTTGTTCTGCATACATGAAATTTAGACAATAGTGTGTTGTTGGTGTGGTGTGGTGGTTTTTTTTTTTTTTAATAATGCTACATTTCTTTGGCTATCATCTTCTGCTTTTTTGGGGGAAGAGGCTGTGCAGCAGTTCAGGGCGTGTGTTCTGCTTTTCTGTCTCCTGCTGCTGGGGAGCTTTGAGACACAAGGCATTGATTTCAGTCATATTCTGTAGGAGCCTTTACTTTGTGTTTCTTGGAGTCACATTTACATCCCTTCAAAGAGAATGAGATCTTTAGATGCCTTTTAAATGTAAAGTCTTTAATGTTACCAAAAATGATTTCAAGCCTGAGGTGTTTTTTATTTGAATATTAGAGGCCCATTCCTGCAGAGGGAGCCTAAATAAATATTCTTAAGATACAATTGTACTACCAAGTCGTGCTTTTGCTGTATGTCACTTAAATTGCCTTTTATTGATTATTCTTCATTCTCTACATTGGGCTAAAAAGCCTATTAGATTATTTTTGCCATCATAATACATTGTCACTGCTGAAAAATGCCTGCTTTATACCTTGATTAAATGTCACTGTCATGCATTCACATGCATCCCATCTTTCAGAACACGTTAGTGAGGTGGACTTCTGTGCGTCTTTTGTTTGAAGAAAATGTCATATAGACAGACTGAATTAAAATAACTTTTGATAGATCTTCTTTTCCTGCAAGCTGGAAACTTTGTGTACGCGTGTACAAACTGCAGTATGCACGTGGCAGCTTAGGAGTGTTTACGGTCCATCAGGGTTCAAATGTCTGCTTATCTTGATATAATGCAAATTAACCACAGTATCGTTTCAGATGTCATTCAGAAACACTGTTAGCAAGCACCTAGTAAATGCCACCCCAGCCTTTGAATGTGGTGTAGTTTCTGTATGTCAAGGTTATTTTTTAATCCTTTTTTATTCTCTGAAATGTGTTTGGGTCACGTAAGATGATATTCTGTCTCTTCGTTACACATTAGGAGCAAAGTATCTTTCTTTGTTCCATTTATTTCTGACTATGCTGATAACTTTCTGTCACCAAACTGGAAGAAGTTCATAAGGGTCCTCAGTAAAAGCATAAACGAAACCCTTCCAGAACAGTAATAGTAAGAAAGCCCGTAGATTTTTCTTGTGTTGAAAAATGTCTGCATAGAAACCAACCAGCCAGGGAACTCTACAGCAATCATTAGGTAAATCCTTTCCTTGTGAGCACAGCTGGGAGAAGTCCAATGGGACTGAAGATTCGAGATGTAATTGCTGGGCAAAGGCCAGAATGCCCTTTTTAGGCATGTTTCTGCGCTTTGTTAGCCAAGCAGTAGGCAGATTTGCTGCCAGAGTTTGGCTGACATGTATGTGTTCTCTAGATTCTTGAGGCTGACGGAGTTGGCGGGCAGGCAGTTTATCATTATTTTGAGCATCACCTTTGCACACCTTCTTGCGCAGCAGTATGGACTCTTGTGAATAGCGTGTGGTGTGTTGTAGCTGTTAACCTGGCTGCTGCTGTATCCCTTACCAGATCCCTTCAGGTTTTTAGGTAGGTGGTGAGATGGAGAGACCACTGGTATGTACATTAGACTTCCTTTCCTTGTAGCTGTAATGGCCCTGTAGGGTTTCTGTGGAGTTGATAAATCTTATTTGCACTGCATAAACCTTTTAAGGCTTCAGCTAAAGCAGATTTTGTTTTGTTTTGTTCTAAGAAATCCTAAGCTTGTTATTTCATTATTAAAATCTCAGGTCTTTGAAGAAGACTTTTTAGAAGGGCAAAAATAATTTTGAAAGCACAGTCTGGAAACGCTGGGACTCAGGGTACCCAAGAGAAATTCTATTTGATCATAGACTTGTATAGAATCACAGAATGGTTTGGGATGGAAGGGACCTTAAAGATCATCTGGTTCCAGCCACGTTCCCTGCCATGGGCAGGGACACCTTCCACCAGACCAGGGTGCTCAAAGCCCCGTCCAACCTTAGTAACACCAGCTGAATGCACTAGATTTGAACTCTAAGAAACCTTATGGACAAATGTCCCCAGCAGAATGTTTTGGTTTTTTTCCCCAGTATAATTTGTCTCAGCTGGCAGTTGGAAATATTCAGTAAGACTGCCTACAGCCTGCCTGTCGACTCCCCTGCCTTTATGCCTGGTCACGGAAGAGCTGGGTTTCCCTGAAGCACGTGCATCAGGCCATCCGAGTGAGCTCCTGTAGACTGCCAGCTGTGAGACCCTCTTGCTGTCTCCGCTTTAGCCTGTCTAAACACTCAGATCTGCGCTGTTGCATTTAAAGTCCACGTCTCCTTTGGTCTGAGAATGCTTAGAGAAGCTAGTTGTGAATAACTAGTGAAATTATACATACAAGTATTAACATTAGTTATATTGAGAATGAAGTTGTTAGCTGTGCTGATGGTATCCTGTGTTAGTGATGCCTGGAAGGTAGCACCGGTGACAAACGTGACTTGGTGGAGCTTGACAGGAGGGTTCATGAAAATTATTGGATCTTTTCCCATGTATATACATATAAGAACTCTAGTAGATTAACAGCAAATAAAGCCTAGAGGGGTAAAAGCTGTCTAAAATCTGAATAGATTTGTACATCAGAGATGAACATTTCCAATGGAACAAGTATGTGGATTTCAGAGTCCAGGAGTCCCTCAGAAGTTTGCTCTGTGTGTGCCAGCCAGCCGAGGGCGGTTACAGCAGCTGCTCTTACGGTGGCAGGGCGACGAACCGGGGAAGCTGCGGGGCTGTGCTGGAGGCCTGCCGTCTGCTCACCCACCGCTGACGGGGAGGGTCCCTGCCACCCCGCTGCCTGCTCTGCCTCCTGCCCTCTCGCCCTGCTGCGGGTGCTGCAGCTTCTCGCACGCCTGCTCCGAACACGGTGTTTTAGAAGTAACCGAGGTATCGCTGCCGGTCTATGACTAAAACCGCGGTTTTGCTTTTCTACAGGTGCTTGGGTGAGCAGAGCTCTGTTACCCAAGAACAATTTCACGTAAATAACTTACCAGTGTCTGTTTGAAAAAAGAGAAAGCAAATACTGGCTGGTCAACAGTAGTGTGACTGATAGGAAGCTTCCATCCGGACCACGGAACAGATGCGGGGTTTTTTAGTGAAAAACAAAACTGCCTCCAAGAGTATGAATGGGGAGTGTTCACAATTGGTGGGTTTTGTCTTCAAACTCTCTGTTTGCAGTTGCGTTGAAAAGTCTCAATACAGACTCTTTAAAAAGGTCTTTTTTTTTTCTAGTATTAGTTATTTCTAAGTAAATGAAGCAACTATCATGAAATTAATACTTTTGCTGTAGTCTCTAGCTTGCATCCAGTAACTTTTCTTTGTACCCCTCCTCTGTATTTTTCTTTTTTTAAAAAAGTCTAGTCCATAGTAAATTTTTTCTTTCCCCCCTCCACTTTGCAGGCAATATTTGAAGTGATATCTTCTGAGCATTCTTACTTACTGAGCTTGGAGATTCTGATCCGGATGTTTAAAAATTCCAGGGAACTGAGCCTTACAATGACCAAAACGGAGAGCCATCACCTTTTCTCCAATATCACGGATGTTTATGAAGCAAGCAAAAAGTAAGTGTAGCAATAAATTTCTACATTTTTAAATCATACGTTTAAAATTTAGTAATTATAAGTTTGAATTATTTACAATACATGTTTTTGAAATCACACCTGAGGGTGATTATTAGTAGTCAAGGTATCTTTCAAGCGGGGAATGAAATGTAGTATATGAAATAATGTCTTTAGTGTTACCACAAAATGAAGGAACAGCTGCAAGGTAGCAAATTCAACAGAAATTTAGGCCTGACAGAGCAGTCAAATGTTGCACGTGTTAGTGTGCGGAGTCATAGCTTTTTATAAGCTCTAAAGAAATTAGAATGGAATTGGATTCTCTGTTCTTTCAGAGACCAAAACACACGTGCTCTGCGGTCCCACAGAGTCATTCCATATGATACAAACAGCGGAAGTTTTATTTTGCTGACTGTAGATTCTGGTTTTGTAGTGGGAGTACGCTCTGTTTATTGGGATTGTATTTTCCTTGTATACCTCATGGGCAGCTGCTTGCATAGTGGGGCTTTGGTTAGTGCTGTGTACAATACATGGCAGTATTGGCAGCCTCAAGCTGTGCCTTACCTACGCTCTTGCTCTCTGAGGCATCTTGCTCTTATCTGGAAAAATCTTGTCTTTCCTTGCCAGAGTACTCTATTTTTAGAGTTGTACTTCTGGCTGTACGGATTTAGTCAGAAGAATTACAGGTAAGCTGAACTAGACATGTCTGGTTATTTATTGGAGCCTCGGGTAACCGTTTTGGAGTGGTAACCATTTCTTCTGTAACTGTCGTGCTAGTTTGAAGATGGAAAATGCAAGTAACAGTGAATGTGAGTTTGACAGACTCACCTTGCCACTGTGTTTGAGCTCACATTTAATGGGATAGGCATGGTGTTAGTTGCTCTGAAAATTGCTAGGCAAGGAAAGACCGTGGTGTATTTTAGTAGAAATAAGCATCCTTTGCAGCTCAGCAGTTCCTAAGCTAGATGTTGATGCGTTAAGCAGTCCTACTTAGTCTTTAGAGTCTATCAAACTAAGCTTAGTCTGCCCTTACTAAACTGTTAAAAGTTGAGCGAGAGTTTCATACTTGCCCTTGAGAACTGACTCTTGCCAGTGTTTCCTCACTCAGCTGAATCACGGTTTGCTCTCTGCCGGTGCCCGGGTGTGCTGTGCGCTGTGTGACCGTGGCGCCTGCTGTGCAAACAGCCCCGGCCCGTTGCTGTTGGTGAGCAGTGCCCTGTGCGCCCTAGCACCTGGCACCAGGGACGCGGCTTTCTGTTAGAGAGATCATCTGCTGGGCTGTGCTTTGTGCTGTTGCGAATTTCTTCAGTGCAAAGTCAATAACAAGGAGAAGGGACACAGTACAAATAGTGCCTAATGGAAAGGAAAGGTTGGCAGATCTTGGCAACACAAATGCTGAAAAGTTTGTTTTAGGTTCGCTGATAATTACTGCTGGCATTGTTTAATGTGGGACACGCATATGTATGTGCACTCACAGTGTACTGCAGGGTTATGTATACTTCAACTCCTTCAAAAAGCTGTTTAATGCGTGATTGCTTTGTTATAATTTGTTATCCTAGCCTGGTTAATAGCAGCGTCAGCAGGTGAAGTACTGTGGTCCACAGAACTAAAACATAAAAATGTCTGTGCTTCTTTGCTTGTACCTTATTTCCAGTTTGAAATCGAGCACTATGGCTAAAGGATGCACGTGGCCTAGTTAAGATACTGATTGATCTTAGCCATAGCGCTGTACAGCTTTTAAATGTATCTGTCTTGTGGAACAGGAAAATATTAGCCTCACTGCAGAAGTGGGGCTGATGGTTGGATGAGGAATCTGTCAGGCTAGGAAGGTTTCTGGAGTCAGTCCTTCCTACCTTTTCAGCTTTATTTTTTTTTTTGTTCCCTTTTCTTTTGTCCCCTTTGTTTCCTTCTTGTAGAAATGGTGATGTTCTGAATTCTTTAGCATTAAACCTTCATTTACCTTTGTGGAACTTCTCAAGTTTCATGTTCCTGGTCATGGTAATGTCCTTCCTGGCCTCGTATTTCTCTGACGTGCTGTGAAGTCTGTGGAATTTTACATCTGTTATGCAGCAGTTTATTTTATGTCTTCTGAAGTTTATGCAGTAGTAGGATTTTGTTTCATAGAGCGTATGTGAGAGAGTCTAATGTATTGTCAAGTGCAAACCTAATTTAGGGGCTATAACAGGCATACATTTGGACTTACTCGGGATACCTTCATTTCTCCATCCCCCTGTTCCCTTTCGTTTCGCTTTCTTATAGCTGAGGTCTTTTGCCAGAAGCTGGGTGTTGTCTGGATCCACAGCCGCTGCAGGAATTGCAGCTGAGCGACAGCAGGGTTGTCAGGGAGTGCAGGGTATCAACGTCTTGATTTTCAAGGAGTAGTACTTCTGATAGGCTTCTCTTTACATGGAATGTGAAATGTAACAGTAAAGTATCGTGAGCCTATTTTTTGCTGTACAAATGTTGATGTCACAGAATCATCATGTATTAGGGGGTAATTGCCATCTTTTTTTGGATAGCCTAATAGAAATCAAGGTTTAATTAGCTGCAGACTTTGCCTCTCCTTTGGATTGTTGCTGTAAGACGCAGTGACCATACGTGTATAGCTGTGTGAATAGGGGTATGTTTGTTTTTTTTACCTGTGTTGAATAAGCCTCCAAATCATTAAATCCACTCTTCAATTTTCCATTTAAAATATTTAAAGCAGAAATGGGGATGGGGAGAGCAATATTTTTAGGGGAATTCTTACAACCCCTTGATTAGCAGTCTTCAAAGGAAGTGGGAGGGGAAGAAAAGAAAGAATGGAAAAATACCGCACTAGCCTAAAATTATAATCTTATTCTTGTTTGGAAAGTCTAATGGTTTAAGAACTTGTGTTATTTTTATAACTTTGAATAAAAACAGAACTTGTAAGTCCTTTTTAAACTTAAAGGAAAACATACTGTGTTTCCTGAGTTATGCAATACTGTTTAACTATAGCAAAACTTGGTGCTGACTTTCTACAACCTCATTTGTAAAAAATGAAAGTCATTTTAAAACAGAAGCCTCTGTCTCAGTATCTCCAAACTATCGCTTCCATTTCCACGGTCTTTCAGTGTAGCAAAATCCATCCTCTTGTTACAAAATTGTGATAAAGTTGAGCACCTGTCCCGTTATGCTGTATTTCAAGCAGCCTTTCCTTTACTTAACAGTGTAAAATCTGAGTGTATGGGTGCAGTTATCAGTGGGTTTGGTTGCTCAGACAAAAGTTAGGTGAGCTACAGAACGTGGCCTGATAAAAATACTAGCTTTAGTCAAGATAGCTTAAAGCTTGTATCTAGGATCTGTGACTTAGAACATGCTTAATGGAGACTGTCCAGAAACACCAGGGTAGGCTTCTAATGCATGACAGGGCCATTTCTGAGGGAACAAAGCTGCTCTTGTTAGAAGCAGAATACAGACAGCAAAGACCGTCTCTGCTTTTGGGAGCTCACTGGAATGTCTCTCACAAAGAAGAGTTGATCTGAATAATTTGTGCTGCGTACAGTGTGTTTGTTTGTGAAAACCTCTTGTAAGGTGGCTGCAGAAAGCTGAAGTCTCTCAGTCTGTATTTGCCTGTGTGTGTAATGCACGGAGCACAAAACCACACAGATTGCTCCCCGAGTCAGTGAGAGCCGTTACACGGAGACGTGAGCTGATGCGGGTGCCATAGGGCAGGTTGGTCAGCAGTCAAAGCTGTGTACCCTGAGAATACTGCGCAGTCGCTCTCGGTAGTCAGAAGAAGGCTCTCTGGTCTCGATACGTGGTGTGGAAGAGGTCACTTTCCCAACAGCCTCCCCTGGGGAGGGGGAGTTACAGGGAAACGAGTGAAATGTCTTGAAGAACAATTGGTCTGGGTCACATCGCCAAATTTATAGGAGAAAGGAAAGCTTTAGCGTTTTGTTGCGTTCTCTGCCATTAGGCCAGCAAAAGGCAGAAAGCTTATGGAATATCAGAAGATCAGCATGAGTAGAAAAAGACACAAACAAAAAGTATTTTGGCAGGTTCTGACTGTTTTCGAACTCTGTGTCTTGATTTCAGTAGAGAAGCCTGTGTGGGTTTGTGAGGCAGGTCAACATACTGTCTGAGTATCTTGGTTTAATTTTATATCTGTGAATATATGTTAGGAACCAGGTAAGCTTTCTCATAACACTTTTTTGTAAGTTAGGTTAATGTTTCACCTCTTTCGAACATCCTTTATGTGGTGCACCTTCATCTTTTTCCACAGGAAAATATAGTCCTAGTCTTCATTGAAGAAGGGTGTCTATTGAATCCATTAACTAGGCATTAAATACTTTACTTTTAGAGAATGCAAAGTTCTGTTGCTCAGCTTCTTCGGACAACTGCAAAAAAACCCAGCAAACCCCAAACACACATATAGTAAAGTACAGATAAAAATTTAAATACTGTGAGTAGACCCTGGGTGATTTGGGTGAACTGTAATGGAAGAGAAGTATTCAGAAGTTACAGATCACCGATTTGATCTCCAGGTGAGACAGTGTATGCGTCATTAACATCCTTTTTTTTCCTATTTGGTCTAGACTGATGGTCTTAGTCTGTGTTCTGTATTTTATTGCAGTTCTTGCTGTTAGCAATTTTTAAAGAAAGCGGAGTAATGTCTTGAGGGCATCCAGCTGAGCATGGTTACCCTGTTGGATAAGTGACACTGAGGCGTGATCTGGGGGAGAATTTCTGTGCTGTTTCAAATAAAGTTGTTCATACTGGAAGTTTCAAAGCAGAAAAGTGCCTTCCTTATCAGTAAAGCTGAGTGATGATGTTGGATGTGGCGGACAGAGAAATGGGAACAGGAGGGAGGAAAAGTCCTCCCAGATGATCCAGAAGCAGGGTGCGAGGCACCTGTGGCACTGTGCAGAAGCCCTGGCCCACAGCAGGTGCTGGCGATCTGATGGGGCCATTTCTGGTTGTCAGGAGATTGCAGGCATTCTAGAGCACCTGTTGTAGAGCAGTGAGTCCAAAATACTATT